TTAACTGGAAAACTGTTAGAGTTAGTAAATTGTAGTTACACACAGCCCAAAAATAGTCCATGTCTATATTGTAAAAAACGCACACAGAATAGTGACTAAATATAAGTGCTACTCACTCTTGAGGATTCAAAATCCTCGGTTTTTGTGGGGTCCAGACTGGAATTAATCCACCCAGATCCACATTTAAACGAAAAACGTACTGATTCCATTTCCCAATAGCTCTCACGAAAACCCTGCTCAGCGTAAACCAGCTTTGATGGGTCTTGAACTAACAGATTAACTACATTTTCATATTCTAATTAACCCTCGCCATTATTTGATGCCTGCAACAACTTGCCCTAAGTTAGATATCGATAATTGTAAAGTTTAATTTAGTTACATAACTTAATTTATTGTTGGTTGAAGTTGGCTAATTTAGAAAAGATACCCCTTAACCCCCTTTTTCCCCCAAAAGACTAGTTTCCTAAACACTCATTATTACTACACTACTAGTACTTTACCCAAAGGAGAGAAGTCAGATGATTGCATGCAGGAGGTTGGGCCAAGACAAACCTGCTTGCCAGCGGTTGGTCGTTTTCCGGCCGGAGCGCTAGTATCGGTCCGACTAGGGCTGTCTGCTTGCCTTTGGATCAGCTGATGGGGTTGACTCTTACCTTATTCTATAATAATTGTTGGCGGTGATGTGGGTTATTCCCACATTTTGGTGGATAAATTTGTCCTCTAAGTAGTAGTAGCAGCAATGCCTCATCCCCATGAAGTCCACAGATATGGTGGCCCAGCACGACTTAGAATCCCAGCAGCACCCAGGGAAGAGACCTGGACAAACATACATTACAGCTGGAGTCGCACAATACATACTGAGCTGCTCTACATATCAGGCCTACTTAGCTCTCAGTTAAATTACAATTTATACTGATATTTTTTAGTTTTCAACAATAGATACTTGAAACTTTTTAAATATTAGGAATATAAAAGTTATTTTGTTATTGAATGAAAATACACTAGAAAAAAGATTGCAAACTAGTGTTATCAACTTGCATACGTGAAACACAATGCATTGTCCATCATATTATTAGCACTAAATTAAGTCTACCTTGCCCTCACCATCTCCTGTATTGTGTCAGGCTATTATTGACACCTCTTTTTCCTTGGGATCTTCAGCTGTTACACAAATCACTATTCCACAGAGAGACATTGTTCGAGTGACCGGGGAAATGTTACGGAGTAATTTCCCCACGCTCAAAAATTGTTACAAATTGTTTGACTTATTGCATATCCATAGTTGTGAGATTAGGAATTTTCCTTTAATAACATTGCAACAAATTCGCTTATTATAAATGCCAATGTTTTGATGGAAAAAAATTCAATCAGATTTAATTTGCTCTTTGGAGTATATCTCTGAGCCTAGCGTTCGGTCTGTGTCCTAAGAGCCTTAACACGTTCAGTGCGGCAGGCATTCCAACAGGCACTCGCCAATGGCGGCGAGGCCTGGGCGAAGCCCTGGTGCGGTACCGTAACAGCGAAAGCAATTGGCATTCAAATATTTCAATCTGACGAATAACAAAAGAGCAGCGGCGGTTGTACTACGTTAGCCCGAGATTGGACGTAGTTCTCTAAAACACCCAAAGGTAGCAGAACTGCCTGGATCAGTAGTCAGTGGCTTTCTAATATGGCTTGAAGAGAGAAAATCCCCGAAACCGGGACAAAAGCATTGTCAGACAGTATTTTACGGGAAATTTTAGTATCAACCTACACCAAAATAAAGCTCACATTCTAAGCTAACAGGCTAGCAACGATTTTAACGTTCCCCGGCAATGGCTGATCTCATACTGAACTAATGTAGTGGGGGTTGCGCAACTACATCAATTGATGTAGGCCGCTTGTGGTGCGACTACATCAATTAATGTAGTCAGCACTGAACGTGTTAAGCATGGGTCACATTATCAGTGGCTGACACCAGCACCACCAAGCAGCGGCTTTTGCATGGGTCACACTAGGCTGCTTGTCATCCGCTGATGATCGTGATATTGACAATGTGTGAGAAGGAGCAGCTTTCAAGTTTTGCAACAACTCACTGTAAGCTGCTTATTTGACCGTTACTTTTTCTTTAAAGAAACGTCCCACAAGCACGCATAGTTTTAGAATAAATTTAAGAAATCAATAACCCCCTACAACTTAAGCTCAGTAATTTCTACGCTACTAATTACTACTTTTAATCGCCTAGTTCAAAGCTCAGTTTTTCTCGCCATTTCGTCCTTGGGTCCTCATAAACCAGCACTTAATCTAATATTGAGGATAGGATGTGTGTGAAAGAGAAATAATTTTATTAAAATATGCTTAACCGCAAGAAGAGGCGTTAGTGGACCAGGCCTTGGATACAAAAAAAGAACAGTTAAGAGCTTCTTCAATACAATTTGTATCCTGTACCCACCACTGGCTTCAGTACTGTACATGCCCTACCAGCTCGTGTGCCCTATACTGCCCAAACAGAACATCTACCCTAGGCTGCCCCATTGAGCCCCTATTATACGTTACCCTACTAGCTCCTGTACCCCTATTAGTAGCCCCATACTGTACAATGTATCCTGTACCTGTATCCCCTGTTAACTGGAAAACTGTTAGAGTTAGTAAATTGTAGTTACACACAGCCCAAAAATAGTCCATGTCTATATTGTAAAAAACCACACAGAATAGTGACTAAATATAAGTGCTACTCACTGTTGAGGAGACGAAAAACGTACTGATTCCATTTCCCAATAGCTCTCACGAAAACCCTGCTCAGCGTAAACCAGCTTTGATGGGTCTTGAACTAACAGATTAACTACATTTTCATATTCTAATTAACCCTCGCCATTATTTGATGCCTGCAACAACTTGCCCTAAGTTAGATATCGATAATTGTAAAGTTTAATTTAGTTACATCACTTAATTTATTGTTGGTTGAAGTTGGCTAATTTAGAAAATATACCCCTTAACCCCCTTTTTCCCCCAAAAGACTAGTTTCCTAAACACTCATTATTACTACACTACTAGTACTTTACCCAAAGGAGAGAAGTCAGATGATTGCATGCAGGAGGTTGGGCCAAGACAAACCTGCTTGCCAGCGGTTGGTCGTTTTCCGGCCGGAGCGCTAGTATCGGTCCGACTAGGGCTGTCTGCTTGCCTTTGGATCATCTGATGGGGTTGACTCTTACCTTATTCTATAATAATTGTTGGCGGTGATGTGGGTTATTCCCACATTTTGGTGGATAAATTTGTCCTCTAAGTAGTAGTAGCAGCAAATGCCTCATCCCCATGAAGTCCACAGATATGGTTGCCCAGCACGACTTAGAATCCCAGCAGCACCCAGGGAAGAGACCTGGACAAACATACATTACAGCTGGAGTCGCACAATACATACTGAGCTGCTCTACATATCAGGCCTACTTAGCTCTCAGTTAAATTACAATTTATACTGATATTTTTTAGTTTTCAACAATAGATACTAGAAACTTTTTAAATATTGGGAATATAAAAGTTATTTTGTTATTGAATGAAAATACACTAGAAAAAAGATTGCAAACTAGTGTTATCAGCTTGCATACGTGAAACACAATGCATTGTCCATCATATTATTAGCACTAAATTAAGTCTACCTTGCCCTCACCATCTCCTGTATTGTGTCAGGCTGTTATTGACACCTCTTTTTCCTTGGGATCTTCAGCTGTTACACGAATCACTATTCCACAGAGAGACATTGTTAGAGTGACCGGGGAAATGTTACGGAGTAATTTCCCCACACTCAAAAATTTCCGGCGCTGACTCTCGGGATTCGGTGAGACCCTGGAGAATGTACTTGGGCAGTCCACGGATCGGTTGGACAACTTAGTGACGCATAGGATTCATTTCTACCCAGAACCTCCAATACATGATTTTTCCTGTAAAATATGTCTATCATAAAATTGCCTTGCAATGGATGTGCGAGAGATGAATTTCCCAAATTCCTCCGGAGGAGTCCTTTTAGGATCCTTATCAGTCTTTCCCAAAATCCTCCCCACCAAGGACTTGCAGGGGGAATGAACTTCCACACAATCGCATTGAGGGTGAATGTATTTTGGATTTCAGTCCAGTTCAGAGACTTCAGATTCTTGTTTAAACTAACAAAATTTGTGCCATTATCTGAATAGATAACAGGATGTAACCTTTGCTCAATTTGGTTAGTTCCCATTTTTAAGGCATTTACACTCAGGAAAATTGACATATTATTTTATTGACTAAACCCTGTGTCGGATTGGTTATCTAAGCAAGAATACTCTCTTTGTATATAAATAATGTAAAAAAATGTGATATTAACTCAAACAGTTGTTCTGACTGAACCTAGTTGTGAATTAAGTTAATTTAGGCTAAGTACATGCAGATTAATTTATTTTTGACATTGAGGTTAATACATTTGTATTGCGTCCATGACCTTGGCAGGAAATTGGTATTCCGATATATATAATATAGCCATCAAGCCATAGCCATATATAAGTTAAGCCATATTATATACTGACCTTGGCTTAAAAGTGAGGTTATGTCACAGCTGACAGCTAATTTTGGCGGGATTACTCATCTGTCAACACTGAGAAAGCACACGCTTAAAACCTACTGCTTTCTCATTGGCAGGTTACCGAATCGGTACGCCTACTGTTTGATAAACCAATCAATGCTTAGAAACCATGTTGAATAGTTTCACAATGCAGATAAGAGACATGCAGGTCTGAAATCCCTCTGTACCCTATTCTTGCCTCACCAGTAAGCTTTAGTACTATACAGTACTCTACCAGCTCTTGTAATCTATGCTACCCTACCATAGCCTCAGAACCGTACACTGTCCTACCCGTAGCCCCTATTAACTGGAGAACTGTATGAGTAAGTAAATTTGAGTTACCTTCAGTCCAAACTTAGTCTTGGTCTAATTATTTTAAAATACGTTCATTTAACATACAATTAATCAGTGCCTGAATATAAGTACTACTCACAATGAGGAGTCTTGAAAAATCTAAATCCTCCGTTTAGGTGTGGAATCCCCTAAGAAGAAGTAGCAATGCCCGATAATCTTCCTACTGAGGTCCACCCAGATAGGGTTGTCCAGCAGAACTGAGAATCCCAGCAGCACCCAGGGTAGGTACGGAGCCTGGACATACATACATCACAGCTGGAGTTGCACAATACATGCTGAATTGGTCGACATATCAGGCCTACTTAGTTCTAAAATTAACCCTACGGAGGTTGGGAAAAAATTATTTTTGATCTTATTTAAAAATTAAATCCTGACATTTAAAAATGTGTTGAAAGCCCATATAAAAATATCATAATGAATTTATTATTTTATTTTCTTCTAGAGGATAGTACAACACACCTTGATTTTAAAATATAGGACTTAAACACAGTTGTTTTGTTAATTTTATATGACTTGTAAAAGATATCCAAAAACTGGATGTGTACATATTATGGAAAAACTTCAATTAAGACTCTCAAAGAAATAGTAAATTTACTATTAAAAGTTAACAAGAAGGTTTAGTGCTACCTAAGAGAAAAGTGTACGGTAATACAAAATGTGGGTATGGTATGTTACTACAGTCAATGTTATTACTTTAGTGATAAACAACAATTTATCATACAAGAAAACAATGTTTGGCTCATAGCATATCGATGTTTGTGGGGTAGGGGCTGTTCCTTTAATAGTAGTTTACGCAACGATCGTGTGAAGATTAATTAGGTATATTAATAAATATCGTGTTAACATCCCAAGTAGAAATTTAAACAAGAATACAATGTTTGGCTCATAGCATATCGATGTTTGTGGGGTAGGGACTGTTCCTTTAATAGTAGTTTACGCAACGATCATGTGAAGATCAATTAGATATATTAATAAATATTGTGTTAATATCACAAGTAGAAACTTAAGGTACGAGCATTGGCGAGTGTCTTTAAAAACTTTTACAAGACTTCTACAAGTTTTGTTGAGACTATTTACGCGAGTTGCATAATGCATACACTACTTTACCTACGACAGTGTTTTAATTACTAAAAATCACTACTCATAACTTCTAAGAGAGGTTATGTTTTCGTTATAACCACTCATTGCCACTGATAGTGATGGAATGAATCAGGTACTAAACACTAATTGCACCACTCATTAACAATTAAATTGCCCTGAACAGCTGATTAGTTGAAGTTCAAAGCATTATAATTTACTTCTTTCCTCTTAATTCTTAAACCTTATTAGTCTGTTACCCATGTTGTTAAGTAAAAAAAAAATTCTGTTAAGTAAGTAAACAATGCTGTTAATCATTTTTGAGAGTGAGTGTGTGTGAACGCCTACAAATGAAGCAGATAGTGTTATCAGTTGGCCTCATCCTTGTTGTACACTCTTCATTATTTAGATTGGGAATGTGGATAAGAATTAAAACAAAATTTTGGAAATAGCATGATGTATGATGTTGTCCATGAAATGCCTCATCTAAATGGAATTTTTTATACAAATTTAAATTATAGTATTTTTTTAATTTGTTTGTTTATGTACTAAAGGATTGTTAAACATCACAGAGAGCAGGTGTCATCCTTATATATAATACGTGAAGGTGATTTCTAAGAAACACTACTCCTCCGTTAATAATGGGCAGATTTTTACAAATGGCGTGTCAAAATTAAGTATTTTTTTGTGTATACGCCCCCTTTCACCAATTCCTGTAATAAAAGGTCTCGGGCTTTGTCCCATAGGCTATCAAACATCCCAAAGTATTTATCATAAAGAAAAGATTTTGTTTACTTAAACAGATGAATAATTTGTATTATTTACAGCTGTTCATAGTAAACACATGATACAAACTGACAAGAGCGTTCGTTTTCAGAGTGAGTTTGTTAATAGTTTAAAAAACTGAAGTGGATTGATTGATTACATTATCTTTGAGTTGACTCTTTTAAGTCATCGGTAAATATGGATATTATTCGTTTTGAAATAACGCCTGTAATACTTTGCACTTGTTTTTTTATATTAAGCTAGGCTGGTTAAATGTTTATTTTTAGATTATTAATAATTAATAATAATATCTAAGGTTCTTACCGTCAACGCAATCAGGAGTAATATTCCACTACGGCCGTTACTTCAAATTATGCCGAACATATTCAACAGTATTGCCATGATTATTCCGACATAAACAGTTTAGAAATACTACATATCGGCAATAAAAGTCACAAACTTAATTGCATCGAAAATTTCCATATCTACAGCAGTACAGCCAAAGAACCCAACTTAGTAATTAACTCCCAAACAAATTCAGCAGCCAATCCAATTTTTGAGAGAATAATAGAAATTAAACAGAAAAGTAATAATTTGAGTAGATAAGGTTGGCACACCGTGTTATTAGCTGTTCCAGTCATCCACGTAACTCCTGCAGTGACCAGAATTGAACAGTCGGTCATCAGTTTTCAAGCCGTGCACGTGCTCTAAATGTTTTCGTGTGTCCGTCCTGTACATATATGTGTTTTATTTATTCAACCCCTGACGCAATGCAAATGAAGAAAACTCGTGTTAAATGTGACAAGACTATAGTTTAGTGTACCACTACGCACCTGACGATGGAGTCATCTCCGAAACGGCCGTAGTGGAATATTACTCCTGATTGCGTTGACGGTAAGAACCTTAGATATTACTAGGAATGCGGCCTCAGGTCCGCCAATTGAGCGGAGTAAGCAAGCTTTGATAAAAACAAATAACTTTAATTTGTTTTCATGATTCAAATTGAATACATGATGACGTCACCATAGCAACAATCCAATTGAATTCTCGTGCTTGGGTGGAAGAGTTAAAGGAAATATGAATCCAGTCAGCTGTTTCTATTAGGTCATTGATTTTTACTTGTATATATGAGTACTTGTCGCTGATTTAGTTAGTTAGTTTTACAAGTACTATGAGTACTTGTAAAACTGTGTGTTTGTAATAGCATAAAGATAAGTATTATTTTGTCAATATCCTAATGTTTGTTTGGCTCCCATTTATGTAATAGGCTTATAGGTTTCCTTCTCATTTTCTCTAACTAAAACATTTAGCCAATTAGTAAACTTTGCTCAGCGAACAGAATGACAGAAGAAGGTGACTATATATAGCAATACCATAGTCAATGGTAACCACAGGAAATAAGGCGTGGCTAATTTCACGAGCTGATGATGTCCTGAAAAAGATGGTGGTTGCCGCGACGCTGGTGGCATTGCATTGGTGATGTTTGTGCTAGCTCCACCCCGTTGCCAAAATAGGCCTACTGTACTCAATAAATAGATTAGATTTTAAAGACGGCACTGGATATAGAATTGATTAATTAAACAAGAATATATTTATTCCTCATGCTAAATTACAGCATGATTAAGTAAAATACTGTATATGCATAATAAACTACTGTACAACAAAATTATTAAAATCATATATAAAAGACGTTTTTATATTAGACTATGGCAATTTAATTTGAGAACCTGCACTGTGTTGATGTAAAGCCTATTTATTGGGTTGTACTAAATTTCCAACCTGACATAAAAATGCCAACATGCTGTTCTGTTAGCTGTAATAATTCATCTTATAGTATTACGGAAAAAATAGGAATATTATATCAAGCTGATTTTATAACTAAACTCCCGTACAGGCCAAGCAGTCTAGGCTCTACTTTTTGTAATTATTACCTTATTATCTTCATCTTTTACCCAAAAGGGATTGATGGCGTCAGACTTTCAAATAAAAAATATATACATTTAAACAAACAGGCATAAATTACTGAACATATATTTACAACATTGGCATGTGTAATTGTAACTGTGTCTGTATACCTGCACAGAGAAAATTACTTCCACACTTATAAGTTATAAATTGGACAACACAAGTTAACAAGTTTAGTTAAATATTTAATTATAATAAATAGCTATAACTGAACTTCTGTATAGGCCTAGCAGTCTAGGCATTAGGCCTACGCATCGTAATCGTAACTGTTCAAGCCTAACCAATTATTTACACGCCTTAGTTTAAGTGGACTTCTATAAAATCTTAGGTAATTATTTATTTATTGTAGTCGCAACTGGACTTTAGTGTGCAAGCCCAGCAAATAACTGTATTTATTTAGGATAGGCTACCGTTAATAATATTTGAAAATAATGAATTCCTGCTTCGGAAATACAGTTTCTATAGTTTTCAATTTGAATACTCTCTTTTACTGTTTATAAACTAAGCACCTGGAGACAAAATCATTCCCCATTCTGCGATGCCAGCCTTTACTACTTCCTTCACCATTTCCTACGTCATTGTTTCCTTCCCTTCTCATAGCATTTAAGTATTACGGATACATTAATCTAACTGCCACAAACGGTTCCCACACTCTGCGATGCTAAACATTACTACTTCCTACGTCGTGGACGTGTTGTCATCTCTTTCCATTGCATTTTAGTATTTTAAATACATTAATCTAATTGCCAACAACATTTCCCACACTCCGCACTGCTAGCATTTACTAATTCTTTAACCAGTTCCTATGTCTTGGACATCTTTCCATCCCATCTCAATATCTCATAGCATTTCAGAATTTCAATTTCAGATACAGAAATCGAACTGTTACAATTGGTTTCCAGTTCCCAGACTCCACAGTGCTCGCCTTTACTACTTCCTTCACCTCTTCCTACGTCGCGGACCTGTTTCCCTCCCTTCCCATTGCATTTTAAGATTGCAGATACCTTAATCTAATCCTTATAAACAGTTCCCACACTCCGGACTGCTCGCCTTGACTACTTTCTTTACCACTTCCTACGTTTTGGACCTGTTTTCCTCCCTTCCCATAGCATTTTAAGATTGTAGATACCTTAATCTAATCGTCATAAACAGTTACCACACTCCGGACTAATATTTACCACAAAACTAATAACAACAATTAAAAGAAATAATATGCTTGGAATAATTCGGTAAGGCCGCCAGAAATTATGCCAATCGGTGTATTGTTAATCAACGCTTAATGTTATTCATCGGACTCCTTTTCTTTTGTACTGTCTTTTGTAAATTGGCCATATGTGCATGTGCAAGCTGAGGTGCCCGTGGGTACAGAATGTCGAGTCACATACGCTACGATTCTTTGTTTACATCTACGTTGTTATCTCGTAACCATCATGGCAACTCATAAGACTCATGTTAAACATTGCAAATTTTATGTCGGTCTTAAATTGTACAGGTATCATCAATTTGAAATTTGTTTGTTTCGAAACATCAAAAATATTTGTCGTAATACCCCTGGTAAGTTTGGATTCAATATGTTCAGCCGTTATTGAGTTAATTGATTACATAGTTTGCATAAGGTCCGATCTCAAAGAGCTTCGCTCGCTTCGCTCGCTCCGCTCAATTATTATATTTTCACGCAATCTGCCACACTCAAGAATATTAATAATTTTTTCTACTGACCACACAACTTGATAAAGTGGTCAGTTATATTTCCAATATTAAAATTGTTTTTTACTTTGTAATTTTTGGATGGAAATAAAATCATTGATTCATAGGTACCTGCAATCACAGGAGATGCTCATAAATTTGTTAAGGTCATAGAAGATGTAAACTATTTTTCCACTATTGCGGATGATGATGACATTCCTGTGATCGCAAGAGATAATATCAATAGCGCCCTGATCACCGATCACAGTCACGATGTGTCATCTGTTTTATAACAGTACAATAAAGCTTGAAATTTCTTTTACTCTTCACAATTGCCGTTTTGCATGAATTTATTTAGAAGATTTAAAAAAACCCAAGTTTCCCTTGTTGCTTGTTGAGAAAAATCCTATCTCTTTCTAGTCTCAATAATCGAGAAGGAAATAAAAATACCCGATCTAAAACAGTTCTGCCAATACCTTGTACATTATATATGTTTAGTTAAATTGTTTACTCCATAACTTAACAAATTATAATTGCTAAGTTGTAATTATGCATATAAAATCGTAAAATGCCTCTGGAATCAGGGTATTTTTATTAGGTGATTCATTCCAAAAGGAGTTGAAATATTTTTGAACCTAGAGTGCTCCACATGTAAACCGCGGGACTGAAGATTATCAAGATCGGCCTCTATAAAGGAAGATGAGGTTTTTGTTTTGTACATGACATGTAGTGGTACCAACCTGTGGAATGCAAGCAGCACAGCACCAGTGAGTCAGGTCATCTTCTTCTTCTTGTTTGTTTGTAAGGTTGGTCACCCTGTCAACAGATTTGTTCAGTGTCGCGGTTTAGAGTGTGATTTTGTTGCCTTAACAGTGATCCAATAACACACTCAACATTTAGGTAGTGGACTAAAGTGATGGTTGCAGTGTAGGGTTGGTTTATGCAGGATGCACGTTCTTACCTAAAACAGCAGAGATAATCTCAAATTGTTTAAATTATAAAGATATAAATATATAAATATTTCTTAAAAAAAGTAAAATTCACAACAACGTGGATAACCCAAGTTTGAAACACCTAAAATAGCAAATAAAGACACTCATGCAACAGACAATAAAAACATCTTCATCCGTAATTTCTTTAAGAAATACATATCAGCCTCAAAATACATAGCATACAAATTTACTCTTGCTTTCTTCATTCAACTAAACCACAGAGAAGCAAAATTTAGAGGATACATGCTTTTAGGACAAACGTGTGCTTTTAGCTCTGGTGGGAGGGGGGTGGGGGGGGGGTGCCAATGTAGAAGTAGCGAACTAGGAAGAGCCTGATCAGTGATGGCCACATAGCATATTTGTACAGCAGTTGTAGCGCATAGAGTCGTCCTACCGCGAGAGCACTGTATTAGGTAATGGCAAGGGGAGGAAAGAATAGCAGAAGGGATGACCAGAGAATTTGCTCTGGACACTAGCGACTGGTGTGGTGCTAGATATCCCCTAAGTGTACCATTGAATGTATCCAGTGGCGTAGATAGCCTCTTGTCATGGGGGGGGGATACTGGGGGGCAGGGCCGGATCTAGGAACCGCGAAACCCCGCAATGCAGGGGGGCCCAAGCCCTTAGGGGGCCCAAAGAGGTCTATAATTTAAAATTATTTTAATGCATATAAACATAATTGAACAGGACGGTAAGTTTAGTTTTGACAAATATTGTCAATATCAAAGCTAAAGTTAAAATTATTGAGTACATTTAGACCTACTGATTTTAGGCCTACTCGTCAACAACTTGGGACCTCGCCGTAGACGTAGACAGTTTAATCTGTGGTTAACTGTCTCTTTCAGTCAGTCCAGTCTGTATGCTCAGCTCAGTCCAGTCAGCTCGTCAGCTGCAGTGCACGCTTCACAGATCCACTACAGTCCGATCGACGTGCACGTAGTTAGTGTCAACTTAGTCAACTATCAGTTGAGCTGAGCAATAAGTCTGTAGTACAGGCGGGACTTATAATAACCTCTGTAGCGTTATCTAACGACCTCAGGGCCGGCGAGAGCTGTCACGGGCCTCTGAGCTGAGCGATCCCCGGCCCCCTATTTTCCCGATTTAGTGTCTAGCCGCCTCCGTGCCGTTTTGTTAAACATTTAACAATATATCTAAAATGCATGATTTAATTCTCTTGCTCATAGTTGCAACTTTATTCCACTCAAAAATTACTATGTGAACTGAAAAACCATGATTTTAGCAGATTACATGTACAGAAAAGTTTTCACATTTGACCAGGCCGGGTCCCCTTCAGAGCCCAGGGCCCCGGGGCTTTGGCCCCTCTGCCCCACCCTCTGGAACCATGATTTGTATGTAGGCCTATATATCTTGAAAATAGTGTAAAAAGAAACTAAGTTTAAATTGAGTCGTTTGTTTATTATTTTACCTTATTATTTATGCTTGCAATTCTTTATGTAAAAACCTTTTACTTTTTTGTACAATATGTATTTTATAATTTGTAAACCTATTTGAAAGGCTAAGAAATCCTATTGACATAAGAATAAAAAAGCTTTATTTGAAGTTTGCTGTTTTGTTTTAAGTTCATAAATTTACAAAATTACGCATTTTAATGAAAATGTTTTTTACAAACAGGATCAATATTTTATCTTTAAAATAGCGTTAAAATTCAGTTTCAGCTACTTATATTTTAAACATTTCCCCCCCCCCCCTCCCGCAAATAAGGCCTCCCTGCTATTGACGCCAGCTTTAGGGGCCTTTGGAGGATTTTTGCAGGTGGGCCCATATTTTGTAGATCCGGCCCTGCTGGGGGGTATGGAATACCCCCCAGCAAGGAAGGGGGGTCCGGGGAAAATTTGAGAAAATAGCTTCCCTAAACACCATTTTTAAGCGTTTAGGAAGTGAAATCTGGTGTTAATACTTAATAGAATTTTATGCAATTTTGTTGCAACTTTTTGCTTTAATTGCAGGTGGACTAGTTTTTTATTACATTTATTTTTAAAGTACTTAGGCTAGGCTTTTCGTTATATGATAACATTTAACGTTATGTTTCTCTATCCTTTAACACTGAATATTTTGATTAATATGTTTACGCCACACAACACTATTTTGACGCACTTCCCACGCAAGGATTTAGTCCAGAAAACAGCTGTTTGTCGCCAGCTTAATCAAATGGGGTTTCATTGCGTACTAACTACTGTACTGTAATGAGTTTTACCAGTGACCAATCAGCTGATTATACTGTATTTGTGTGGCAATGAGTCTTTATAAACAAAAAAAATAACCTCTCTTAGAGATTACGACTAGTGATTTTTAGTCCTTTAGTTGGTGGTCATATATAAAGATTTGTAAAGATTTAGTAGTATGGCGTAAACTATTGTATGTAACTCGTCCAAAATGTGTGTACCGGACTCGTATGGTAATCCCGTACTCGACCTCGTCTCGCACGGGAACGACCACACTCGTCCGGTAAACACTTATTTTCAGGACTAGTAACGTAATATACTATAACGTGACTTGGCCTATTTTTAAAAAAATATTTCAAAGGCGAGTAATAAAATCACTTAACTTCGTTGTTCCATTGCCACACCAGCTAACGCCTTCAAATATTTCTTTTCGGGGCGAAAAACCCGAACAGTTTACTTTACAGACACTCATGAGACACCAAGGAATACGAAAATCATAAAAACACACTGGCACAATAATTAACACCAGACGACAGATCAAGCGTAGTGTGGGTGACGGGGTAGAGGAGGAGGGTGTCGTCGATGGGCGGTTGAACGCGGAACGTCCGGTGACTCACGTCTGTTTGGCGCGCAAATATCCCACCCCACCACTGCTACCGGCATGTAGTTTATCTGTTTCCATTTATTCATCGATAATGAAAGCATACGTACAAACAAAAAAGCTTAGTACAATTGGCATGGCATTTGATTAACTATTTTGTTGCTCACGTTAAAACGATTAATTTCAGGTAGGTGGAAAAGGTGAAGTGGTGGCGGAAGGGGGAGGGGCGGATAGGCTGTTGACCTTCCGTGACTTGTGTCTGTACTCTGTTTCGGCGCAAAAGCCATACTACTTTCACTGGCATTGCAGTTTATTTACGGTTTATTGATATTGAAAGTATACTTACGAAAAACAAGCTTAATACAATATAGAAGTAAAATTAAAAAGATTCACTATTTCATTGCATACGTTAAAACATTATTTTTTAAATGTTATTACAATTTTTTTACCCATTATAGGTTGAAGGGGGGGGATATATCCCCCTGATCCCCCCCCCCCCCCCCCCGTATCTACGCCACTGAATGTATCCTCTGTATTTTGCTTCTCTGTGAATAAACTAAGTAGAAAGAAGAATACCTTAGCACTATTTGCTATGATGATTGCACCAAAAGACTGTTCAAATCAAATCCAGCTGATTTTAAAGACTTGTTTTGGATACGATAAATAATTATTTTTAGCGAATTTCTCATATACAGTAGACTTGCTCTTATCCGGACTCCTCGGGACCGAGGCCAGTCCGAATAATGGGTTTTCTGATTAAACCGACGTCCCCAAAAACTCGTTAAAACAGACTGTTTTAGACACGTGATCACTGGTTTCAAATCTTTCCCACGAGAACAGTCGTTTCAGTACTGCCCACTTCCTGCCGTTCTAGTCCGGTTAAACAAATGTGCTGATAAAAATTGTCCGGTTAAAGAGATGCCATTTCCGCTGAGTGTAGTCCGGTTAAAAGGTGTACGGATAAGGGGAAGTCTACTGTAGGGAATAAGCTATTACCGTAGGTCTCATGGTAAGACCTACGGTCAATTACATCTTTATCAAACCCGGGACTGATTTACTTTTTCGTTTTGGGGTCCCCAGAGGCCAAAAACACCATCCTTTCAAATCTATATGTATATATGTGTGTGTGTCCGTTACCGCGATAACTCGAGCAAAAATTATCCGATTTTGATGAAATTCAGGTACAAATGTGTAAACCTACATTTATTTGAACGAGTTGGCGAACCAGTCTAATCGGACTATGGGAAGGAGGGTTTATAGGGGATTTTATGGGGTGAAAATTGATTTTTCTCATTTTTTACCTTAAAAACACAAAATTTCATAATTTCTCTCCAAACCATTTTGTAAAGCTTAAATAAAGAAATAATTTTGTATATTGAAGCGTTTTTGTATGCCCAATGGTTACGGAGATAATTTAAAAAATTGTATATTTAAAATTCTCAGGTTATTCTTATGGAGAATAAATAAACTGTTGTAGTTTCCCTGTTCATGGATATATTTCAACCAAATTTGGAAATTTGTTTATTTCATACTAAGCTATCAACATTGCAATAAAAAACACACCTCAATATCTTCCCTGTAGTAGCAAACCTAAGTACTAACTTAAATTAATGTTTTTTAATAGGAAATAAATCTGACAATTTTTAGGGAATATTTTAGTAGAAATCCAGCCAGATAAATGGACATTCGCTTAGTCTGCAGGTTTGCTGAGGCGGGGGTATGTTTTATATGTTTCCATAGTTACCTCATTAATGATCCCTAACTTTTGTACTTACCACACGCTTATAATTTAATCTAAAAAGTAACACGTAAAATTAAAGGATAATTTAAATCTCCATTACCCATTTCTTTCAAATAAAACTATTTATACTTCGCAATGAAACAAAGACAAATGAAATGTGTTGGTTATTTTATACAATGGTTCTCAGTTTGTTTGCCAGATCAAATAGGCAACAAGATAGGGGGGGGGGGGGTGTAACACCAACTATAAGGAATTTTTTCAACCACACATTAAGGGTAGTCCGACATCCATAAGAGCTAATGTTAACTTAATGACACATACTCCAAGTTTGAAAAGAGATGTCTTAATTTTTTTATTGTTTAAAAGATTAAATAATTCTCTTAGATTAAATTTTCTCTAGTTCCCTATATGAGCTTTTATTTTTATTTTTATCCAAAATATTTTAAAATATAAAAAAAAAACAACTACTGAAAGTCGACTTTTTATTTTAAAAATTGTTGTTACTAGGCAACAAGAACTGGGGCGGTTGTAGGAACTAGGATTTAGCATGGAAAATGCCATGTAAAAGTTTCATACTGATAGGATAAGTAGTTTTTGAGGGTATGTGTCACCAATTTTAAAAAGTACAAGTTTCGGGAAATCGACAAAAACCATGGACGAGTGGCGATTCTATATACTGTGATTCTATATAGCGTACAGCGTTCAGGCCTGTTTTATTTATTTTATTTTGGGATTATATATGTAAATAAATAACAAGGGTGCATATCACTGGAAACAGAATAGTCTAAAGAATTACCAGGGCCAGCGAGAGCCGTCACGGCCCCCTGTTTTCCTGATTTAGTGTCCAGCCGCCTCCGTACTGTTTTGTTACACATACATAACAATACATATCTAAAATGCATCATAGTTTGATAAATTCTTGTTGTCTCAGATGCAATTTTATTCTTAATTAAAAATTCCAAGTTAAGTGGAAAACCATGCTTAAATGTTTTGACTTTAGCAAATTACATATACAGTAGAACCTCTTTAATCCGAACCCCCGTAATCGGAACGTCCACTAATCCGAACCCCTCATTGCTGTACTCTATACACAGTACAGCAGTTCTTTATTGTATACTGTATTTAATGTACAGTACTGTTTATTCACCATGTTTACTACTGTATTAAATAAACACTGTATTTTAATTTATAAAACATTTTTTTCACTTTTCCCAAAATAATTTAGATAGATTTTAGCCATGTTTTAGCTAATGTAAAAACAACAATATGTTTTGTAATCCGAACTATTCACTAGTCCGAACTACCCCTGGTCCCAATTAGTTCGGATTAAAGAGGTTGTACTGTACAGAAAAGATTTTTCCATTTGACCAGGCCCTTCAGAACCCAGGGCCCCGTGGCTCTGGTTCCCCCCTGCCCCACCCTCTAGCCGGCCCTGAGAATAACAAACATTAAAAAATAAAAAAATTGTTCATGTTATACTGCCCTTAATGGTACATGGTTATTTTCTAATAGCCTACCTACCTACCTAAGCCAGGGCCGCGTTAAGGGTCAGTGGAGCCCTGGGCAAACCCAAAAGCAGCGCCCCCTTTTTTCCTAGTGCAAGCAGGCGGTGGTTGAGGGGCACCCGGTGGACGCCCCCAATCCTCCGGCGCCCCTGGGCATATGCCCAGCCTGCCCGTTTATAAAAGTGGGCCTGACCTTAGCACCTCCTTGCCCACTGAATGTTTTAGGCCTCATCAACGATGCCTCTCCCCCGCTCTATCTTCAGCTGCCTCGGGGGTGGTCTCCAATACTGCTTGGTCCCTCTGCTCCTGGCTCTTCCTTCATATATTTTCTAATAGGCCACACTAAAATAAGAATAAACTATAGAGCACATTTTATGGAGATGGTTAAACTTGAACTATTGAAAACCTTGCTATTTTAAAACAGCCACAAGTTTTGACCAATCAAACTGGGCATCAAAATTGTCCGAAAAGTACTTATATCGTTTAGCTATTAAACTGTTTTGGGAACAAACCTAAGTCATTTGTGCGCCAGAAGCTATGGTAACCGCAGCACTGATGACGGTCTAAGATGATGGTGTCAACAAGACCGGGGAAGACGATGATGGTGTCAACAGGATAGTGAGACAGGTTTTGGATTTTTCCGCGGCATTATTGACGATTCGGATAGTTGGAGTTCAGATACCGTAATTGGAGTTCTATATGAGCGAGACTAGTTCTAGTTCAATCCTTATAAGTTAGCGACTCAATTCACTAGTATATCAGTGAATATACTATGGTACTATGGTATACTATGGTGGTATACTATAGTGTATACTATACACTATGGTGGTACTATACTATATACTATGGTGGTATGAATAATACTACTGGTATTAATACCTATTAGTAATCTTAAAAAGTACGAGGAGTTTAAGAGTCAACTTGCCTGTAGCAACTATCGTCCATCGACTGTTGAGTATCAACAGGAGTTGGGTGTAGGAAACAAAGTGATTAGGCTACATCTTCAACAACAGAAGACCACGTATGGAGACAACCAGTTCCAATCAGTGCGAGACCACCACCTCCTAGTGCTGCGTGGGCTTGGACCACACCCTGTGAATAAAACCGGTCAGTCTTACAATACTTCAAACAAAATATACAAAACAATATTTATGAATCTTGAGCTTACCAGTATTTCAAACTAAATTTTAATGCCAAATTACACAGAAGTTTTTGATATTAGTGAGGATGGGAGGGGAAGTCCAACCGGATACAAAAAACACATACCTACACAAAAAACTATTTTGTGTTACTATTTCACTATTTCACTGTTACTGACAGCATTTTATTTTTACAATAGGGTTCGAGTTGAATAGAGAGTAGATTAGGCTTGAAAACAACTTCCTACTTTCAAAAGTAATCCTCCCTTAATTTTTAAATGCTGTCAGTCTCAATAAAATATTAATTAGGTACATTTCTTTTGCTTCCTTGAGCCAGATATGAACTCTTGCCAGTTCATGTAAGGCCTTGTGCTCTATATAGTATATCCATGTAGAAGTTTCTAAGTCATTATCCTTTAAAATTCATTGGCATACCAAAATGTTACTACGGTAGGCTACCTGATTACACACAGGAATTCCTATTTTTTGCTCTTTTAAGTGACTTAAAAAAAATAAAACCTCCTTAAATTCATTATCATGTTCTCTTAAACTACTGATATTTCTCCTAGAAAAGAGTGGAAGGCAATGTGCAATTACCTAACGTCTATTTGAACCGATCGTAAACGACACAGTAGCGACACTTTAACTGACACAAACCATTTAACTTTATAACTCTCATTGGTTCTTGAAATATTTTGCTTTCCAAAAGAGGCTAGGTACCAAAAACTAAAAATACACGCAAGACAGAACAGTTCTGTCGAAGAATGCCAGAGCGCATTAGCGGGGGGACGGAAATGTTCAGTCCAAGTAAGTTACATATGTCAGTGGGTTAAATTTTATCCTTAAATTTATGTTAACAGTTGTTGCTTACTGCAGCCATAAGAATTTGCCACCAAATCACAAAAATAGTCGCACCATAGCATTAAATGGTTAATTAAGTGCAAAAATGCAATGTAAAAATTTGCTCAAAATAAATAATAACTGCTAAATCTGGGAAGACGTGTCTCAACGTTTTTAATTAAAGGATATAAATAATTTTGTTTAAAGTAAGGATAGATCAAATCAAGTTAGGTAAGCGTACCTTACAATTAACTTACTGTAGGTGCTGTTTAACTTACCCAACTTCTTCCCACTGCATGTAAGTTAATAAGAAAAGCGAGTAATTAACGGTGGTTGCTTGAGCTCTACCGTGACACATATAATTCCCCAACCAAAATAATTCCATTCCGCCTGACCCATTTTTCTCGCTTGAACGACAAACAAACTTCTTTGAAACCTGACACTCTCTTCTTCAGGATCGTTTTAATCTCTTCTGAGATGTTTTTCTTTCATACCTTCTATCGAATAGTTTTTCAGCAGTAAGACACTGAATAAGACAAACAGCAACACCAATCTTGCGATATGCTACTTCCATGAAGTTATCACAGTTATTAGGGGCGTTGGTTTTGATCACAATTAGCCCATGAGGACATTAACACGACCTCAGATGTAGCCATTTGGTCTGAACCTGAAAAAGAGATTAAGATTTAGTAGCAATCGAGTCCCTGATTTAAACGACAGAATGGTTGTGAAAAATTAAACACAGCACAATTATGCCCTATGGTCAGCAACACATTGCGCTGTACAATGAAGATAAATGCTAGAATATTGATAAACAAAGACTTAGGCTAAAGCTTAAACTTACTATGTGACTTGTCAAGCTAAATTGTTCTATTGTTTGGTAAAATTTATGACAACAGCTAATTTGCAACCAAAAGGTGAGTGAACGAACTTTAACCTGGAGGTGAGTTAGCGAAGCGAACAAGCTAAGCCTGAAGGTAAGTGGGCGCAGCAAACGAGCTCCAACCTAAAGGTGAGTAAGCGAAGCAAACAAACTTCAACCAGGATGTGATTGAGCGATGCGAACGAGCTCATCTTGAAAATGAACGAGAATTTGTCATAAAACCACATTAGGACAGGGCGACGTCTATCGGGCCAGCTAGTAATAACTAAAATTTGTTGATTTAATATGTTGTTAAAGCTGGTTGTCAAGGAATTCTTTTTCTGAGGAGAATGAAAGGCAATCAGCCTTGGGCTATGTTTTTCAATTGGTATTATAGCCTAACACAATTGGTGGTTTACAGTGGTAAGCTAACTTGGTGTTCTATTATATTTTTAGTAAGTTACTGTAATCCTTTAAGGATACTGTGTCTATGACAAGGAAAAATAAAATCCTATTCAAAGTGGGTTAGTTTTTGCCATTTACAGATTAAATAAGCTGTTAATCACAATTACGAGTCAGGCTAGGGATATCTTAGGTTAAACTGTCAAACTCATGGCCAACACTTGGGTACACTTCCATATCTGTTGGCACAAACAACCGAATGAGTAATATTGATTATTCGATTGTTTAATTCCATATATTGTTTGGTTGGTTAGGTTAACCTTACCTAACTAACCAAACGATATATCGAATAATCGATATATCGATCGATATTTTCATTCGGTTGATTGTAACAGATATGGAAGTGTACCCTAACACTTTTTGGTACCCATAAGTTAGCGATGTATTGTTGTGCAACATACTTTGCCTTTGAAATTATTTATTTATTCATACCAACAGTCAAACCAATACATTAAGCACAAAGAAGAAATTAAGCACAAGTTTAAGCTTACGATTAAAAAGGCTTATTAATTTAGGTTAGGTTAGATTGGTGTGATGGCTAACTTAGTGGTTAGCATCTTGGACTAACTTGGTGTGAAAAAGAAGGGTTTGACCACCAGCACACTAACAAATCATAGGCCTACAGTTAAGACAGATTTCCCAAAAACCATTTATGTAAGTATCTAAATTTGGGTACACTTCTATATCTGTTGGCACAAACAACCGAATGAAAATATCGATCGATATATCGAAAAAATGCTGCAGACCTAACATAAACGTTGACAACAAATTTCAGTTAGGCTTAGGGTAGTCTATCTAGAAATATACCTAACCCTAAATGTATTTGGTTTATAAAAATTGTTTCTAAAAAGGTATATATTAGTGGTAACATATGCCTAAACTTCTTTCATTTTGTAGTTAAGTATAACTTACTGTTGTAAGCTTGAAGATAATGTTAAAAATTAACAGTAGGCTACTTATAAGGTTTGGTACACATACTAACTAACTTTAATGGCAGTTAGCCTAGCCTATTACAAGATAGTGTAATAAGTTAAATTTTAACTTGCTATACATTCATGAGAAAGTGAAAATGTTAATAAAAAAAACAAAGATGACAACGGAATGTATCATTGTTTTAGATAGGCTAGCCTGTGGCCACATAAAAGTTGTGATTAATAAATGACTAAGCTAACTATTTTATTGACTATTATTTCGTGGTGAATATATAATTAAATTTGTAAACTAGCATAAAAATAGCACTAACTTATCAATGTAAATGAACTAACCTTGTATTTTTGCCAGTCATTATTAGAATTTGAGTTGCCTCTCGGTCAGATTCATCCAGAAGATGATTACAATTACAATCATCATTCGATTTACAAGTTATATTACACTTACTTTGCACTTTGATAATTCTTAAACAAACTCAACAGTCAACACAACAATGAGAATGAGAATAATGTCTTGTCATTTCTTGTCAGTCACTATTATCACTTGTCAGCTGGAGCTGGTTCACACTTCTTCTTTAGCTCTTACTAAAAAAAAATCCAGCTGTATTTGATGGGCCACTTACGTTACTCTTTAGCTGTGTAGCCACTGAGCTGTCAAGAGGTGTACCATTGATTAAAGTTTACGGCAGAATTTCTTGAGGGGATTTCATGGAAGTGGTAGTGATTGTAAAATTACTTATTAATTCAAAATTAATAAAATACGACCTTTCTACGGTATAATTCTCTATATAGGAAATACACTACGAAATTGAATCTGGGGTACTTAAGTGAAGTCATTAGTTTTGGTTACACATCCACATTCAGGTTTAAAACATAAAGGGTATCATAAAAACGAGTAATGGGCATTTTAGCGAATTTTCCTCAAGATACATACTTATTCTTGATACTTGTCCTTAACCCTTGACCGACGACGTCGGTTAGATTGCGTCAGAGGCACATTAACATATGTACTATTAATTACCATCGATCTCTATTATTATAGAGATCGATGACTATTACTTATTGTTTAAAACTAGAAGTATGTAGCTAA